GCGTCCTGCTGCGGAGAGTCCCAGAACCATTCAGTGTCGGTGTGCGGGAGCTGACGTAGCCCATTCCGGGATGAATCTGGAGAAGTATGTGAACAGACCCAAGGCACGGCGGAGCTCAGAACATTCGTAGGCTCTTTGAGGTCTTCACTGGCGGATACTTTGCTAGGGTCGGGGTTCACACCGGATTCGCTGACAATGTGTCCCAGGTACTTGACTCACAACTGCTTGAGCTGGCATTTGTCGGGATTTAGAGAAAACGATTGCCGTTGCATGAAGGAAGAGAACCAACGAGATCGATGTGGATGAAATCAAAAACGCTGATCCGGCACAGGAAAGCTACCAATAGCAGAGTGGGTATAACGCTTGACCTTAGCGCGCTGGCACGAGTTGCAGGCCTTGGTCCAAGTGTCAATATCCTTCTGCATAGATGGCCGTACAAAGCGAGCAGAAACTAGCTGGCAGGTTGCACGAACACCAGGATGATTGAGACTGTGGATAGACAGAAATATATCATGGCGAAATTTCTGCGCCACAAATGTGCGAACTACACCGGTAGACACGTCACAGATAAGCAGGGAGGAACTGCCTTGCTCTGGAAGGCGCTGGAGCTTGAGTGTTGAGTCGGGCTTCGACATTTAGGTAGCCAACTCAGCATCAGTCTCTTGGGCAGTGGCAAGAGCGGTGAAATCACCAGCGTGCGATTGGCTAACAGCATCGACGTCAGGGCGGGATAGAGCATCGGCGACAGTATTCTCCGAGTCTTTCACGTACCGAATGTCGGTCGTAAACTCTGCAATGTACGACAGCTGACAAAGCTCACGAGGTGAATGACGTGAAGAGGACAGATGAGAGAGCTTGGAAGCTCAGGGCCCTACGCTATGCTTTTTTTGCCTTGATGACCTAGACAAAAAAAGCATAGGGATGTTATAAATTCTTTTTAAAAATCCTTTTTTTTTTTTTACATAACCTGGGATTCGAACCCGCACTATCACGCGCCCTGCATGCATCCCCGATACACTTCGCATACATACCAAATCTTCCAAGTTGCTTCACGTTATGATCTTGCATTTGAAAGCCCTATTTGAATATGCATTGTGGCCAGGCGTCTTTGATGGTACGGTACGGTACGGGATACTTGTAGGTACGGGACAGGTACGATCCAGGGTAATACAACACCGTCTACCGCCTTGATGATGGCAAAAAAAGCATAGGGATGTTATAAAATTTTCAGGCATATCCTGCGATTCGAACCCGCACTATCGCCCTACATGCATTCCTCCATACACTTCGCATTCATACCCATTCTTCTAAGTTGCTTCACGTTATGATCTTGCGATTGAAAGCCTTATTTGAATATTGCGGCCAGCTGTATGTGGCCAGCTGTGTTTGATGGTACGGTTTGGTACGGGACAGATACGGGATAGCGCCAGGCGTGACACAAACACACAAACACACAAATACCAAATCAAAGCTGTGTGGACCCTGGCTAGCGCCAGACGTTACTGAAGTAACGTCTTCTGCATAGCTACGGGAATTAATAGCAAATGTCAGCGGCTCGTGGTCTGTCAGGATATGGAATAAACAACCCTTCAAGGGATGCTGAAATTGCCGAATTGCGAGGTAGATACTTAGCAGCTCACGACCGAATGTGTGATAGCGACACTGTGTGGGACTCAGCTTCTTGGAAAAGAAAGCGATTGGTTGCCACTGACCGGAGACTTCCTGCTGCAGCACTGCACCAACGCAGAAGTCAGACGCGTCCACCATAATGTTGATTGGAGCATCCGGAGCAGGGTATCAGAGGAGAGTGGCGTTGCAGAGGGCGGTCTCCACAGCTATGAACACATGCTCGGCAGTGTCAGGCCAGCTGAACGAGGTGTCATGTTTCTTCCTACCACGCAGCAGGTCTAGCGGCTTCATGAGGTCGGCACAGTGAAGAATAAACCTTCGGTAAAAGTTCACCATGCCGACAAAGCGGGGCAACTGCTTGACGGAAGAAGGAGGTTTGAAATCACGCACGCCAGTGACTCGTTGTTCCAGAGGGAAGATTCCGCCGCTGGTGATACGGTGGCCGAGAAAAGTGACGGTTGAGACTGCAAACTGACACTTTGCGGGGTTGATGACCAAACCATTGTCGGCAAGGCGTCGGAGAACTGCTTGGCAATGGGTTCTGTGGGATTCCATGTCCCTGCTCGCAACGAGAACATCATCCATGTTGCCATTGCCACAATCCAGGCAATGGCTGGATTGCTGTGCGAAGGTGGTCAGGTGCCAGGCGACGTCGCTTAGCATGCACTGGCTGGCCAGAAGTCACGATATGATGCGTCACCTGATGCTGAACAGGATGGTCAGGCTGAGTGCACGGCCGCATGACATCGGGAAATTCATCGAGATTTGCAGCAAAGTCCGGATTGTCAGCAGTAGGCAGGATACACGTCGGATCACTGTATGCTGTGGCTATGACTGATATCGTTCAACTGGTACTGTCGTCCAGGAGACGGTTGCCATTCAAGTCGACCAAAAGGTTGAAATGTGCCAAGAAATCGGCACCAATGATTGGACGTTGAACATCTGCAACAATAAATACCCATTGGAACTGCCGCCGAAGACCTAGATTCACCGTCATGGAGCGCTGACCATATGTGGCTATTCCACTGCCATTAGCTGCTTGGAGCCGGTATGCTGACTGGCAACGCCTTTTGAGAGGTGTTGGTGGCACAACACTCACCTCGGCACCAGTGTCGATTAAATAGGCAGATTGGGACAGGCGATCCTTGACATGTAGGCGGCGACCAGTTGCGCAGCCTCTCGCCTCTAGGTGCTGGCGGGGGTGTTTCCCTATAGATAGGCGCAGGGAGCATCTGTTGGCCTGCGTGCCAAACTTCTTATGGTAACGGCAGATCTGATGGTCTGGTGTGCCAACTCTGTATTGAGTGACAATTTTGGCAGTAGCCGGTGAGTTGGAGCGAGACAAGCGCTGACCATGTTGACTGTATGGTGAGCGACCACGTCGGGTTAGGGTATGGACGGTGCCAGACAACTCAGCCACTTCGAAAACCCGATCGGCCATCTCGGCTAAAGCTTCCAAATCCAAACTTCCAGGCGCAGAGGCAAGCACCATTTGCACACTGTGTTGATGGTGAAGAAGAAATCATCCAGAGCTAGCAGATGACAAGCATTGCAGCTCTTGTAAAGCATTTGAACTGAGGCGCGACCAACTTACAACCTGGAAAATTTGCAGAACGATATTTTTTCTGCAATTTACATCAGCGACAACGACGCCTTCATCTCCGTGTGAACATTTCAGCCTAACTGTCGTGGAACGTTACTCTTGACTTCAGACTATCATCCTGTGTAATAATTTTTGTATGGTTTAGCTTATGGAGTTGTCAGGAGCAAGGGACAAGTCACTAGTCAAACTGTGACAATTTCCATGACGCGGAGGAAGTATATGTTTCGCATCGGAATATTCCTGGAAAAGGCACTCATATGGGAGAGGAAAAACAGAAATGGAGGAAAAATTCTATGTGTGCTGAGCCCTGTTGCACACAGAATAGTTGGCAGACTGGGCTGGAGCGATGGGGCAACAGGCTTCATGGATGGCTCATTCTGTACTTTGACATGAGTCCGGTGGAATTCCTCTCCATCACGAGTCCTTGACACCCTGGAATCTCTGCTCGCTTGGTAAACAGGCCCTATCGTACGGCTTTGATAAATAGAAATTTCATCGCTCGCACAGTCACACTTTCTACTGTAGTATCATCGTCGGGCAAGATTATCGAGAAGCTGATAATCTTTGATTTGATACTGGCTAGAGAATGTTCACCAGAACAGCCATCGATTGACTCATCTGGGTGTTTTTTTCTTTTCTTGTCAACTGTTGTGTATAGTGTTTGTCGCTGTATTGTCCCTCTCCGTATTGCCTCTCTCTTATCTAGTATTAACATCCCACTGCACACACAGACATTCAAGACCAGGTATGGGCTAGAGCGGGACTCACAGTGGGTGAAATGATTAGGCTTACACCGCACCTCCACATGGTAGGACAAATGTGGAAGGGGCAGCTAAAGAGTATAGGCTTACACCGCACCTCCACATAGTAGGACAAATGTGGAAGGGGCAGCTAAGAGGTAAGGCTTACACCGCACTTCTACATGGTAGGACAAATGTGGAAGGGGCAGCAAAGAGGTTAGGCTTACACCATGCTTCCACATGGTAGGACAAATGTGGATAGGCTGCTAACACGGTTACGTTTACACCCTGACAACCGTATGGTAGGACGAATGCGGCGGGGCTGGTAACCTGGAGTTAAGTGACCCGCTCAAAGGCTAATGGAGTGCTTTGCAGGCCACCTAACAAATACCACCCAAAAATAAGACTGCTTTCGGCGGCTTGAGCCATGAACTAGCCGTTCAAACCAAGAGCAGAGCCATGCTCAGTGCGTTGCAATCAAGACGCGAGAGAGAGCAGTTAACGTTATACCCAGTCGGCCACATAGCTAACATATGCCGCTAAAGGTAAGACTGTCATACATCAGGTGTGAAAGTATACTAGTGAAAATTGTATTCTTGTCTCCAAGGAAATTGTTCATCAATTCCCAAAGAAATCTTCATTGATAATGATGCAGAGCTTCCTATGTTATTGCCGATGTTACCTTTACTCACTCGCTGTGTTTTTTTTGTGTGTGTGTGTGTTTTTTGCGCATGCATGGTTGTGTGTGTATGTATGTGTGTGTGTGTCTATGTGTGCATGTGTGTGTGCGTGTGTGTGTATGTGTGTGCGTGTGCGTGAGTGTGTGTGCGTTTATGCACATACGCACACACACACAAAACACGCACACACACACATAAAATATGCATATGCATATTTTATGTGTGTGGGAATTGGCATGTGTATGTGTGTGTTTGTGTATGTTTATGTGTATTTGTGTGTACGTGGTTTGTATTCATTAACAATGCTTCTAATAAACACAACCAACCAACCAACCATGCTACTTCCAGATTGACAGCACACCATTACACATTGCAGCAGAGAATGGTCATGTTTCCGTAGCAGAGTATCTACTTAATTCTGGACATTCGTTGGACCCAAAGAATAATGTAAGTCAGGATATCCCTGGTGCATCCTTGTTAGTGTATGTACAGAAAAGAAAGATTATACGGGTGTACATGGTCCAGTCCGGTGCATGTGTGCCAGGTCTCATGTTCATTTGTTGTACGCACAATAATACAAGCACAATTGGAGAACATTTTCAAAGGAGAACAACAGTTTTCACTATCTTCAACAGCCTAAACAACACTATTGAGTTCCTTGCGTCACCTCAAAAATACTTATAAGTCCAGTGTCTTGATGAGATTTGGTGTATATTTTCATGTGAAATCGCACCGAACACAATTATGATTCTGTAAAGCAACCGGCTACTAGATTGGAATTCTTTGGTATTTTGTACACCTGCACAATGTTACACTTCCAGTGGCGGGTAAGATTGTTGAACAGCACAATCAGTCATGTCTTTGTGCGTAACCCGTACAATAATGGTGGTTTGTGTAAATCTGCATGAAGAAGTCTCAGTCAAACTTGGTTGGTTGAATTTCCAGTGGTGTACTTTCTTGTCCTGAACAAAACCAATCTACCAATCCACATGGGGAGAACACTCCGGTATGCCAATGTAGCACCAGTTTTTTGTTCATTGCAGGCATCCGTGTTGTGCTTTTGAATTTCCTCTCGTTGGCAGCAGAGGGTTGGGCGTATTTTTGAGGTTTAAGTTATATTTTAAAGTTCTTTCCCTATCCCTCATGCCTTCGAACTTATCATAGACAATAACGACCTTTTGGGGAGACAGTGCGTTGCTTTGAGTAACTTGTATTGCCAAGCTAATGTTAAACAAGCTGGAAAGCAACGCCACACCGCTGCCTGCAACTAGCTCGGGAATCCCCGCAATATACTTATAATAGTTTTGAAGTGAAATACCCAGCAATGGACCGCAGCTGGCTAATGAGGAGCCATAGCTGACTTGTAATGAGCGGGAACACGTGAAGCCAATGCTGGTTAGGAGGAGCAGAGCTAAACTTCCCAATCTACCGTATGGAAGACAATTTCATGTGAGAAATGGAGGGTGACCACCTAGCATGAGCTAGAAGCAAACAAATATGTTGACGCTGCATGGATGGCCATCCGAAAATGCCACACCTATCTTGCTGGCATGTCGTTTCATGTAGTTGTTGACCATCAGCCTCTTGTACCAATATTGAACACCTAAACACTGGACCAGGTTGAGAGCCCTCGGCTCCAACGTCTGATGACCAAAGGCCAACTCTATTGATGCACGAGCCATAGCCGACATTTCCATTGGAGTATGCCTACGCAGATCTCTTCTCCTGCCAAGGCTGGCAGTTCCTGGAATATTCTGACCATCTGTCCAGCCGGCCATGTGTAGCTCGAATTGGCCGTACCGCTACCTCCCATGACATCATCTGTCACTTCGGCCGTTGGTTTTGAGATGTTGTCGTAACGCGCAAGGTATTACAGATGGAGGCCCGCAGTTTGCCGCTTCCCGTGGACGTGAGTTCTGCAAGCGTTGGGGTGTGGACCAGTGCTTTTCCACCCCACACTACCCTCAATCCAACGGTCACGCGGAATCAGCAGTGAAACTGCAGCAAAAATGCTCATTGAGAAGACGACCCGGAATGGAGATCTGGATGTAAACTCCTTCCAACGCGGCCTGTTGGAGTGGCGCAATACTCCACGCTCCAATGGCAGCAGTTCCGCCCAAGTGTTGTTCGGCCAGTCCCTCCAGTCGTTCATGCTCTCCGACCGTGCTAGTTTTGATCGGCACTGAATTGCATCTGATGACGCTGTGGACTCTGTAGACCGGAAAACACATTATGACAAATCGGCACACTCTCTTCATTCTCTATGGATTGGCACCCACATTGATGTTCAGCACTACCAGACCAAGCTGTGGTCCATGTGTGGCGTCATTGTAGCAATTGGCAGTCGGCACGACTACCGTAAACCGCCCAATATCGGAGTCACTAATTTTTCGTGATTTCTTAAAACCAACGAGTTTGGGATGGCAAAAGTTCGTGAAGCACTGGGGCCACTTACATACACCCATTGTTGAAGTTAGATTTCGCGATGGTTAATATTCGCGTTACGCTCTTCTCGCCAAAAAATAGCGAACATTTATCCGCGCGAATATTATGCAATTTACAGGACTTCGTTAAGATCCCTAGTGGCCGTGTCCTATGGCGTAATCGCCTGCTCCAAGCGGAGTCATTTGCTGGCTCAGCTGCGAGCCATCTAGCTGCTCCAAGTAGAGCCAAAGCAGAGCCAGAGTTGTGCAAAGGAAAGCACAACGAAGAACAGCACGAGCTACGCGCCACGGCAACAAAAATGCCTAAAGTTACTGGATGATGGCGAAACTAGTAAGACTCTTGGACATACCGGCCTTACTACAACTCGACAACGCAAAACACCTGACCACCCAACTTGGGAAGCTCAAGTTTATGTAATAAACATAGAAAGGGGAAGCTAACCAAAGACAAATTGTCTCAAACCGAAACGTCAATATCCTACTTAACTCCACTATCACGTAAATGTGATGGACTAGTTATGTACAACAACAAGTTCTTCCACACGACTTACGTTTTGCCGTATAGGTCATGACGTCTCATGAGGTGTGCAAAGTTGAACGGTATGCCCCCACATGAGCGCGACCCAAAACAGCGCCGTTGACTTCAGCGCCCCCCAAAAGCCCCATCCCCATAACTGGACATCCCCAAAACAGACCACCCCGTCAGCGCGCACGCTCAATACAGGTCGACTCATTTACACTCAAACCCAAAAGATGGACACTCGACTTGTCAAAGACTTAAATCATGATCAACTCGAAATGGCCAGTTCAGTATTGAAGGGCGATATTGCCTGGACCCAATTTATAATCAACTCTAGAAAGCAATGATGAACTAAAAAAAGCATTTATCGACTCAAAAACACCAGTTCAGTATTAAATGGCGATATTGCCTGGATGGACGTTAACAGGTCCAGATACAAATAGGTTGTATTCAACTCTAGAAGGCAATGATCAACTCAAAACAAGCAATGATCGTCTCAAAAAACAGTTCACTGTTAAATTTTTTGGTTTTCCGAAAATGGTAATCTTCAATGGATTGTCATTAAAACAGAAAAAGAAAATAATAAGTAGGGCTGAAACAATTATACCGATAACTCGCATATCGATCGTTAAGAGTGCAAAACGAGTGCTATCGATTTTTTATGCATGCATAAGCGTAAGCGAAGCTGTGGACGCAGCATACTGCTGCTACACTTCAACGCGGGAATGCGTATAATAATAATAATAATAATAATATTTGTAAGAAAGGTTTGCTCCCCACACCGCGCGAGCTCCGGTGTGGGGAGCAAACCTTTCTTACAAATCATCGCCGAAGTCGCAACCACTACTTCGTAATAATAATATTAGTGACAGTATTCTAGCCCTTACACTCCATCCGATAGTGGATACGAGTGCAATCATGTACTTTCAAGCGCAGTAAAATTGATTTGTGGCTTTGAAAGAGTTTGGGAGAGAAGACTTTGCCTTTTCGCTTCATTTGTGGGAGAAGTCGGAGATGAGAGCAGTTGCCAGAGGGTGATGATAAGATTCTTCACTCTAGAAACAACATGAAATTTCTCTACGTGAGTAGTTCATGTTGATAAAACCAGCCAGATATCTACAGATGTCAACAGTGCGGTGCCACAAATTTCTAACCCAGCAAAGGCATCATAGTCTTTCTTCACAAACTGGTGTTCGATAGAGCCGACAAGAATCGATAAAACCAATATATCCACCATGGTAATACTAACATCAAGAGTACATAAAACTGGTTATGCACTCTTGCTAACATGAGCCTGCAGATTATGGGTCACGTGTGTAATGAGCTGGCTTATATTCGGAAGTTAACGTAATTGGTCGCGCCAAAATGGGGCGTGCAAGAGATGAGACGAGCTGTAGTGACACCGTGTCACATTAGGTCGCGCTGTACTGGGGGTGCTAATATGAACACGCGCCGTTTATGGTTGCGCTGTTTTGGGTGTAAATCAGTTGAACTCGGATGGTGAGCCATTTAAACTATGGTGAAAAAGGTGAAGGACAAACTGTTACAAGCTATGATTAACTGTCCACCAACGTAACCAGATCTTATACAGTCAGCGAGTGCCACAAAATGGTGGTTGGTGGACAGTTAGTCAGATGATTGTCTTAAAATGTCCTTCTCCTTCATCACCATAATTGAATTGGCTCACTATCCGAGTTCATAATTCATTGTATTTGCTCTTGTTTGCTCTTCCTTGTATATCACCTGAGGAAAAGTTACTGAAATTACTCTCAAAACCTTAACTTTTCAGAATATTCTTGAAGAGCCTGAGGTTTGTCCTGTAAACATAGCCAGCAGTTTTCCTTAGCTTCTTTAGCCTGGAAAACAATAATGAGTTTTCTTGCGTCACCTCAAACTTACTCATAAGTCCAATGTCTTCAAGAAATCTGGTAAATGTTTCCAAGTTGGCTATTTGAGGATCGTAGCATCTCGGCTTCCCCGGAATCCCTCTCGAGTGATGGACTCCAGGTGCCATTGTGTGATCTTCAAGCGCTTTGTCCGCCCGGTGCTGGAGTATGGCATGGTCATGTGTTTGAGCTCAACACAAACCGATCTGGCTCGCATCACTGCCGTGCAACGGGGTGGCCATCGCCTAATTGGTGAGGGAACCTACCTTTGCCTCCTGTACAAAATTCATTGTCCAAATGCACATCCCCTTCTACAGAATATGTTGCCACCCCAGCAGCCCCAAGACCAAACGGGCCACTCCACCCGTAGTACGTTTCAAAGATGTAATGCCCACTCACACCAACTGGCAAATAAACTTCCCGTCCCATCCCGAGACAACCTGTGTCGAGCCTATAATCACGTAGTTGTCCCCGACTGTAATAAACTGCATGCACTAAAACTAGTTGTACTGCGCAGCCGCGATCGCGTGACGCGGCGTGAGTGCATGTAGCGAGTGCATGTACATGACCATTAAGGCAGTAGGCGGTACGACTCGTAAACTACTTACACTACTTACACTGGTTACACTGAAATGGCACAAAATGCCTGAAAATGCTTGCAATTGCCTTCAATTTTTGAAATTTTTTCCCGGGGGATGATAATGAAGAATTCTTGTCCCCGATCGTAGCGTCTTCTTGGCTTGTTGCAGAATCAAAAAATCTGTCATTGCAGTTACACTGAAATGGCACCAAATGCCCGGGAACGCTTGCAATTGGCTTTAGATTTTGAAATTTTTCCCCGGGGAAGGCCCCCGTACCCTATGGCCGCCCCACCTCCAAAGTCGGTGTGACGGGCCTGCTATCAGCGAACTTTTTCGTGTTTTCCTGTACAAAATTCGTGTGCACCCCTGTAAAAGGGGTCCGGTGACGCCCCTGAAGGACCATTATGTTCTTACTCGAACATGCTTCCGGATTGCACACGACTCGTTGTTTTAGAAGACTGTATTATAATGTTTTACTCTGACTCTGCTGGAAATCATCTTGCAGTACAAAGGCAAGTTCTACCTCTCTTGAAGCAGAAGCGGAGATTCAAAACATTCAAATCAAAAGATCGCGCGAAAGCAGTGTGCGCGACTACGAGCATCAGACGTAGATAATCAGTCGAGTGTAGATAATCAGTCTTTGTCTTGTCCCACAAGGGACTCCTGCATGGCACCAGGCGAACACAACATGAACTATTTGAAAAGATACGTGCGCGGTGACGCGAAACATAGAAATAACCTGGTATGGCCTAATGCACATGAAATAGGAATCCTAGGACAGAACGTAATACGGTTTTGTAAAGCAAACAACTACTAGATGTAGGAACCTGTAGGATGCGTCACTCACCTTCATTAGTGAAAGTGGATTGTGAGCAACACTGGCTCACGCAGAATCATATCAGGAAAATATTTTATTGTTTCCGTCATAAAATACCCATCATCAGAAATGGTAATAGCAACAAGGACATCAAGAATGAATTTGGGCATGGGCACTACTGTTCTTACTTGAACATGCCTCCGGATAGCACACGACTCGTTGTTTTAGAAGACTGTATTATAATGTTTTACACTGACCCTGTTGGAAATCATCTTGCAGTACAAAGGCAAGTTCTGCCTCTCTCGAAGCAGAAGCGGAGATTCAAAAAACATTCAAATCAAAAGATCGCGCGAAAGCAGTGTACGCGACTACGCGCATCAGACGTGAATACAACATGAGAAGTGAAAGCAGTGTACGCGACTACGCGCATCAGACGTGAATACAACATGAGAAGTGAAAGCAGTGTACACGACTACACGCATCAGACGTGATTACAACATAAGGAATGAAAGCAGTACAGTGTACGCGACTACGCGCATCAGACGTCAGCTGACGTGAATACAACATGAGGAACGAATGCGTTGTAGTATGATAATGCAAAACAGAACAACAAACAGTGCTGATATACACAAAGAACGGAGTGGCTCTGCACCATAATCAGTGGGCTGGATATAGGCTGCACATATCCCCCTTCCTGCTCGAATGGCATGGTGGAAGGAGAATGATCAATGAGAGAAGAACTAAGATTAGAGAGATTATTGATGTAAACAGGAGAAAGAGAAAAGAGAGAGAGAGAGTGAGAGAGAGAGATTTCACTTGGCAGGCATCTCCGGCATTACCTCAAGTGGAACCAGCAAGTTGGTCGGGCGCCGATACGTTTTGACTTTGACAAGGATATCCATCACATGCACGAGACCGTCTGCTCCGGGGAAAACATCCACCACTTTGCCGAGAGGCCACATTCCACGGGCAGTGTCCTGTGACATGTACAATACCATGTCACCAATCATTATGTTCCGTCTGCGCATTCTCCAACGTTGTCGGATATTAAGCGTGGGCACAAATTCCTTCAACCAAAGTAGCCAGATGTGATCCACAGCAACCTGCACAGCTTTCCACCGTCTCTGCGGGTGTGCGGGTGTCGTAGAAGCTAGTGCCGCTTCTATGGCCGTTTGTACCTGAATGTGGCCAATGAGGAAGTGCTGAGGTATCAACGGGACGAGATCATCAGCATCTGATCCAACTGTGGTCAGTGGCCGGCTGTTCAACAAGGCCTCTGCCTGAACGAAGGCAGTGTGCAGCTCTTCATCAGTGAAGTTAGCAGAATGCAGCATAGCGAACACTGCTGGCTTGGCTGACCGGACAAGCGCTTTGAAGGAGCCGCCATGGTGTGGTGCCCGGGGTGGGTTGAACATCCACGACGTGTGCTGTTTTGTCGCTGTACAGGTGACCACTTGACCTCGGTCAAAAGCTTCAAGGGCATCACGCAGCTCACTTTCGTTGTCTGACACTACTAGACGTGGTGCTCCGCGGCGCTTACAAAGTCGGCCAAAAACACATTATAGGCCATCTCTAAATGGCATGCTCGTGTCTCCTGACATGTGAAGAGGCAGAGATAGCGCTTCAATTGTGAGTATCCACGACCTTGACGGGTTAGGAATGGGCCTGCAAAGTCTACTCCAACATGCTGGAAGGCCTGCTTGGTTATAGCAACTCGAGTGGCAGGAAGTTGGCCCATGAGCTGGTCTGCAGGCTTCCTCCACTGCCGAATGCAGCCATTACATCGCAGGCGATGCGATTTGATCGCTTGTTTGCCTTTGATCAGCCAATACGAAGTTGTCAGGTTGGCCCACAGATGATTCGTGTCGACGCATGGTGGGTTTTGCGATCCTCATTGGCAATGATGAGGTCAGATACTGGATGCCGATACGGCAGTATAAGTGGCTGCCTCGTACCTTCCGACATTGCTGATGCCTGCTGCAGCCTGCCTCCAACGGGTAGTACAAATGGCCGTTCAGCGGTGTCTAGGACTGGATTGAGCCGGAGCAAAGGGTCCAAGGGCCTAACACTTTGCTCCCGCTGCAAGGTCGAAATAGTGGCCAAGTAACACTCCTTCTGGGCAATGCTGATCCAGTGCCGTTCTGCTCGCTGTATTTCAGTTGCCGACAGTTCGGGAACTGCTACATTCTCTGCCGACGACACAGCTACATGAGAGACCGCATCACTGCCCTCAGATTCTTCCCCCTTCTTCGCACCTCGACAGTTTGAGGAGAACCGGAATATCCAAGCCGTGACACTCTTCAGTCGGTTGCAGAAGAAAAGTTCTCGGGACGCAGTCTAGGTACCGTGGCTTCGGCGACAAACGTCAGCGCTTGGTGTCGCTTAGTCTCTCCTAGAAACTTGCTTGGGACGGTGATATCGCGTTGCGGCCACTCGGTCGATGGCTTGGACAGAAACTCTGGTCCTGTCCACCATGTGCTGCTTGTTGCTAGCGAGGTTGCTGGCATTCCTCGTGTGTATAGGTCTGCCGGGTTGATCTTACCGGGCACATGTTGCCATTGCAGAGGTGATGTGGCACGTTGAATCTCCGAGATTTTTACCCCGATATCTGTGCTGAATCGTCGGCTGTGGGATCTCAGCCAGTACAACACATTGAGGCTGGCTGTCCAGAAACGGTGCTCCGTCAATGGTATCTTCAGCGCTGCTTCCAGCTCTTTACTTAGCTGTACTCCAAGGACTGCTCCATTCAGCTCGGGCTTTGGGATACTTAGCTTCTTGATGGGAGTTGGCCGCGACTTAGCATATGCCAGTGTCACCTTCACGCGTCCGTCTGGATATTCAGAACGGACGCAGCAGGTTGCTGCTGTAGCTGCATCCGATGCATCGACGAACGTGTGAACTTCTGTCTTCTCGCAGGTTGGATCCGGATCGGTGTTCTTGAAACATCGGTCAGCGTGGATCCGTACCAGTTCGGGTAACTCTGATAGCCAGCGCTTCCAACGGGCCGTGTCGTCGTCATTCAGCTGCTCGTTCCAACCATATCCAGCGACACATGCCTCCTGAAACAGTACTCGTGCACGCATCGTGAACGGTGTGAGCTGACCTCTTGGATCGAAGATCATTGCCATCTGCCGAAGAACGTATCGCTTGGTTAATTGCTGGGACGGCTCTGGTGCCTTATATCGGAAGGTAAAATACGTCCAAGCCACATGACGCCCAGGGTCTTAGACGATGGTAGAGTGCAGTGCTGGTTACTGTTGACATCCAGGGACACCTGCGGGGTTTTGTCGGCTTCTGGCACCGACTCAACCACCTCGGTAGAGTTGCTTAGCCACTTGCGAAGCTAGAAACCACCGGACTGTGGTAGCTGTGTCAGTTGTTGTTGGGCATCTATTTATTTATTTATTTATTTATTTATTCAACATCTCCTGGCCCGTCCGAAGACTGCCAATAAACATGAGAGGTCAGGTGATAGCCAACCACGGCAAGCTAAAAGGGAAAAAAAAGAAAAAAAGAAAAAAAAGAAAGAAAGATGCTGTCAGAGAGGGAAAGGAGATAGGGAGAGAAAAAGAAAGGGAGGCACATTAATAATACATGGGATCACTTCGGATGAGACAGTGTGGAAAGCTGGACTGTGAATTTCCTGATATCCTGGCATGTCTTAATGCTAGTAGGCAGGTTAGACCAAAGGGAGTATGCTGAGAAGAAAGGGGATTTCAAAAACAGAGAGGAACTAGCTCGGGGCAGTGATAAGGCATTGCGTGTTGGTCTAGTGGTAACAAACCAGTTGTACTTGGCAATATGTTTCGGGACTTGGGCTAGGAAGATTTTTTGCACAAGGATACAAAGATGCTGCTGATGTCGGGCAAGAAGAGGGTGCGTGGAAGCAAGTTTATAAAGACAAAGGGAGGCAAATGTTTGGTCTTTTCGAAACAGAATTTTCAGAAGCAAGCGTTGATGTACCTCCAGTCTGTGGAGTAAAGTCTGAGACAACCCGCACCAAGCTATATCGCAATAGTCAAATATAGGCAAAATGTACGACTTAAAGAACAATTTTCTGCAGTTATCATTCAAGTGTTGGCAGTGGGGTTGTAGCATACCTAAGGACGCACTCGCACGCTTGCACACAGACTGGACTTGTGGAGACCAGGAGAGTTGGCGGTCGAGAATAACGCCCAGGTGCTTGTGCTCGTTAACAACTTTAATAGGTGTACTATTTAGACCAGGAAAATACAGAAGTTGAGTGGGGGGCGAGGGAGAGAAGAACATGGCCTCGGTTTTGGCGAGGTTAGGCTTCAGTTTCCAGGTTTCCATCCATGTTACTGTAGCGTTGACCCCGGACTGCATGGAGGCCGTGAGGTTGTCTGCCGAGCTGTCGGAGCACATCAGAGCAGTGTCGTCAGCAAAAAGACTTACATTTGGTACAAGGGCTGGCAAGTCATTAACGTACAGTAGAAATAGGAGCGGCCCAAGTATGGACCCCTGGGGTACCCCAGACACGACTAGTAATGGGTCTGATAGGGAGGTAGATACTCTGACAGTCTGGTGGCGGCAGGAAAGATAGGATGAGAGCCATTGCAGGGCTGGACCGTGTACCAAGAAGACGGACTCTAGCTTTTCAAGCAGACCACGATGCCAGACGGTGTCGAAAGCTTTCGCTAGGTCAAAGAACACGATGCCAACATGCCGCCTGAGGTTCCGCTGGGTGTAGATGTCTTGTACTAGACGTGTTAGTTGGAAAGTTGTGGAGTCTCCACGGCAGAAACCGGATTGAGATGGTGAAAGCGCTGGGGTGACGTGGCAGTACAGAGACTCAAAGAATATACGTTCACAGACCTTGGACACAGCGGGAAGGAGAGAGATTGGTCTGTAGTTGCCAGCCTGAGAGCGTTGGCCTTTCTTATAGATCGGGACGATAACAGCAGATTTCCAGACGGACGGAAATACTCCTGTACGATATGACATGTTAAAGAGCAGGCACAAGGGATAGGACAGAGATGGCGCAAGCCATTTGAGAACCTCATTGGGTATGCCATCTTCGCCAGGGGACTTACAATTCTTCAGGAGTTTGAGGTGCTTACAGACGGTAGCAGTCGTGGTAACGACGCGTGTGAGTGGTGCGCTAAGTTCAGGGGCTGGGGACAGCGATGGAATGACCCAATTCGGATCTTCCGGAATGCCGGATGAAACAAACTGCTTGTTCAGTGTGTCTGCAATCGCCTTCACATCGTGCTGGCGGTTGCCATGGGAGTCCGTCAGGTACTGGATTGGCGCGCGGGAGGTCCCGCGGCACTGGTTGCGAATGAATTGGTGGAGTGATGGGCGATCGGGGGAGGAGAGTGTTGCAGAAAGAGAGTTTAGAAAGGAGCGGTGTGAGGTACGAGAAAGGTGCTTGACGAAGTTGCGTTGAACTCGGTAAGCCTCCCGGTTAACCGGCGTTGGGAATTTCTTGTAGATGCTGAAAAGATCACGCTTGCGCTTCACTTCAGATACGAGGGACCGTGTCACCCATGGGGGACTAGATGTCGAGGATGTTGGGTTGGAATGTTTCCGGTTGTTGTAGCCGATAGCAAAGTTAGAGAGGTGCTGTTGGAACCCTCGTTCAAGGACGGCTGCAAAGTGATCTACCGCGGCGTCAACAGTTGGAGAGCCTTCTGGTTGCAGAAACGACCAGTCGTGGCAGGAGAAATCAGCGTTCATAGAGTCCCAGCACTGAGAGGGAACTCGACGGAAGCGATATGGGAACGGTTTGCGAGAAGGAAGTGGCAGGTCTGGATCCGAGGGCAATGAGACGGCGAACTGGCATGAAACCATGAGATGGTCCGAGGAGCCAAGAGCGCAAGCTGTGTGAACGTCCGTCGCCAGCAGGGGTTGGTTCGTGAAGACAAGGTCTAGACATGACTGTGTTCCGGAAGATGTTGTGTGCGTTGGACTCTGCACCAGCTGATCCAAACCGAAGCAGGTAAGGGTGCGAAAAGAAAAAGTGCCGCCCCAGCAGGACACGTTAAATCCGATGGGCACCACCGTTTGTGCTTACTGTTGAAGTCCCCAGCCATTATGACATGGTACGATGACATGGGAACGGTTACCAAAGCACTAGCTAGCATATCACAGAAGTGGTCTATTTCCGTGGTTTTGACTGAGGGCGGACGGTAGGTACAGCAGACGAGGATGGGTGTCGGGGAGCCTAAGATTGGGTGAAGCTCAACCCATACGGATTCACAGGTCGGACGAGCAAGGTCGTCGCGAACTTGGACTCTTCCGAAGCGATTTTGCCGGACAAGAATCGCAACTCCACCATATCCTCTGGTTGCCGTACCGGATTTGTTATCATGAGGTGGTCGGTCGCGACGAAATGTGGTATAACCGGAGATGGTGAGCGCTATGCTTGGATTTAGCCATGTTTCATTTAGACAGATGACATCAGGTTTGTTGAAATCAGCAATGACAGACAGTTCGGCAGATTTGTTAACGATTGAGCGGCAATTTACGGAAAGCAAGGTCAGTTTACCCTGGCAAGGGGGGAAGTAGGGCCGAGCCAGTGGATTCAGCTGTGGTCGCGCCATCATGCTGAGCCTGAGGAGAGGACGTTGTTTGCCTGGTTGGCATTGCTGGTGTCAAAACTGTCCGCGGCAAAACGCCAGGGCCTAACCGTGTGCGAAAGAGCATCCGGCCAGAACCCTTTGTCACCGACTGTGTTCTCATCAGCTGCCTCGATGGTCACCCGTGCGTAGGCAGTTCTGAAGTGCTTGGATGCAAATATGACACCTTCCTGAATCTGCACTCCTCGGGCAGAGCACCATTCAGCAATTGATGATGCGGAGCAGTGTGGCTGCACGTTGCCAACGTAAAACACTTTGCGTTTGGCCCGGGGTGATGCCGTGAGGTCTACTGCCGGCTCGCTATCACGAGCCGGCTTGGTGTAGCGGGATGTTTCCACCCGCCTTGTTATGCTTTGAGCTAGCTGGGACTGACTACTAGTATCTGCCGCGTGCCTTTGTCTCTGGGCGGCTCGAGTGCGTCTGCCCTGGTGTTCCTGCCATTCATGTACTTGTTGTTCAGTATCGGTGGACCTACGGGATGCATCCAGGCCTGCTGCGGGGCTGGAGCTACGACTTGGAGTAGTGCTGGACCTACGGGATGCATGCACGCCTGCTGCGGGGCTGGAACTACGACTTGTAGTAGTGTTGGGTTGTGGCACACGCGGTTCTCCTGGCAGGCTGCCACTGCCGGCGTGTGTACCGTACGTTGGTACAGACCTGCCCGTTGTGGTGCTGAGCCTCGCACGTGCACTTGCAGTTTGTGTGGCGGTTCCTAGTACTACGTCGCTGTACTGGTGTGGCATGGCGTGCTGTGTGTGTACGCTAGTATCTCGCAGGTCAGCCATTTCCCGCCTCAGCTGTTGAATTTCAAGCTTCAAGGAAGCAATTTCATCATCTCTTCCCACCCTAATTGCCACTATTTCTTTATTCAGGTCCATTATTGTCGAGGACAATGCGGCCAAAGCAGTCGTGACATGTCCTATACCGGTCATACCTTCCAGGATGGGGTGGGACCCAATCCCCTCCTTCCGGAGCGCTCCCACCAGGTCGGGCCGTGAGAAGGAGTCCGCTTTCGGGATGCCAGTCCGGGTGGCCAGGTTTTGTAGACAGTCGAACGTCAGAAGGGCCAGGTCGACATGCTCATTGGTGGCCATAGTCCGCAGTACAAGTCACAGCTCCTGTAGGTTACAGTTACAGACTCGGAAAGGCTGATAGGAGCGGAGCTCCTAAAACTGCATCCGCACTCGAAAACTTGTCTGTTTCTATTGCCACAGAAGCTGACTGGAAGGGTCCAGAAGTTCGTCGACATAGAAGCTCTCCTCGACCACTTGGAGAAGGTCGTTGCTGCGCATCGAGTCGGTCGCGAAATCTTGTGCAGTTTGCATTAGAGCCTTGTCGGGGAGATAGGGTGATGCTCTTAGGCCGAAGACCAACCGGTTAAACTCATACACTTGTAGATCATCGTCTGCGCTGGCACGCCATAGGAACCGAGTGAACCGCTGATCTTCTTCTTTGAGCTCTACTTGCATAAACATCTCACTGATGTCGGCAACGCTAGCTACTGGTTCAGCAGAGAACCGAAACAGGATGCGAACGATGTCGGTCTGTAGGCGTGGTCCCGTGCGCATTTCTGTGTTGATGCTGCGACCTTTCCACACAGCAGCGGCATCAAACACAACACAAATCTTGCTGGTGGTCTTGTCCTCCCGGACGATTGGGAAGTGTGACAGGTACCACTGGTGCTGGTAGTCTGCGGCGGCGATGGCTTAAGTTCAGGTGCAGTCCGGATGTACCCTTTCTCCAGATGTGCTGCAAGGACGCGGTGATATTCTGCCTGGATCGCTGGCTTGGCTGACAGGGTCTTTTCTAGACCTCTCAAGCGCTGTTCAGCTTGAGCGCGGTTTGATGTGATGTTCGGACCAGTTGGGCGGATCCAGGGAGGGCGGATTTCGTACCGCTGCCCATCATGGTGCATGGTAGCCGTGGCCAGTTCCTCCGCTTCACGTTCTGCTGGTGTGCGGTATCGCTGGTCAGCGTTCACAACACCGATGGACACAGTGTCCCATAGGTTGAGGACGAGCTCATCCAGACGCGGTTCTGTGCCAGAGGAGGTCATCTCTGAACGTACAGCGGCAGTGGCACAGTTCGTGATGATAGACTGGGATATCTTGGTGCTTGTACCTGTGGGGCCATAGCAAACCCAACCAAGCGGGGTCCGACGGGCAATCGGCGCATCATCGGGGCCTCGTCGCTCTTCCAGTGCTGTGTGGAGTGGCGCAGCATCCACACCAATCAGCAGACCAATGTCGCAGGTGTCCATAGTTGGGAATGGTATGCCGTGCAGATGCGTCCAGGCATCTTGGTGTTGACTCCAGTCGACTGCCACGGTGTCGGCTGTGACGCATGGCAGAACCCAAGCGCTGATCTGGTGGGTCAAGCTGCTGTCTGTACTTTGAATGGTCACCGGTGTACGTCTGCGCATGGCTTCCATCTGGCTGCCACCAAGTGTGGTCACTTGGAGCGGTTCCGGATCTCCAGTCAAGCCGATAGCTTCAGCCACTGCGGCTTTGATATGCGCGCTGGTGGCAGCAGGATCAAGTAGTGCTCTGCATACGGTTTCTTGACTTCCGTTGCGAACTGTGACCGGAACTGTCATGAATGATATGGCAGGGAGAGACGTTCGTCGTGGTTGCGGGCGGCACACATGCAGAACGTGCTCCCTAACGTCTACCTTGCCCTGAATGTTACTGCTATTAGACTGCTTCTGCTGAAGCTTGTTGCTGCTGAACTTGTCGAAATGCAGCAGTGCATGGTGCTTGCCGTTGCACTTTGCGCAGGTGGACCCACTACAGGACATGCTATGGTGGCCGGGTCGCAAGCAGCAAATACAGCGTTCTCGTACCGACATTGCTGTGAAGGCGGGGCACTGGCTCAGGAGATGATTCCCATCACACTTGAAACATGCATTGGGAGTCTTCGCTGGCTTACCCTTCGAGGCATGGAATGCATGTTGGGTTGCGTGCCGACCTGAGCTGGGCGCTCTGCTGCTGTGGACGTCGTACGGCTTGCGGTTAGATGCTGTGGCGGCTTCTCTGGGCAGTGCGGGGCGCGCATCCGCCTGCTGTGCTCTGTGCACCTGCTTCAGCAGACAGGTAGACAACACCTCCGCATCCAGCTATGGTCATCATACCGATCAAGGAATCGGGACAGCATCCGTCTTTGGAGCTTCTGAGACACTGCTATGTACAGTTCGCGTCCGGGTGCGACGTTGGTCATTTTCAGCTTAAGCAGGACGTTTCTCAGCTTCACTGCGAGTCGCTGCGAGTCGCTGCGAGTCGCTGCAAAGCTGTTGTGTCATCCACCCGAGAGATTCGGAGACTGCCGATTAATTCCTGCTGTTGGCGTTCCAGCTCCCGGTTGTCGCCACCAAACCACTGGTCGAGCTCGTTCAGCTCGGCACTGTATGCCCCAGGGCCGTCCAGAATGCCACTGACAAGTTCTTCAGCCTTCCCACCATCCAGCGCCTCACGCAGCCGTGCCATCTAATAATCCTCTGTTTACATGAGACCGTCGTCTACGAGACACATGAAGCGCTGGCGCCATAGAAGATAGCTCTCCTGTTGGCCATTAAATTTGGGCAGTTCCAGCGGCTTTATCCGGAACTGCAGAATACCAACATACCCAGCACTGTGTGGCACACTGTTTACCCAGTTCTGAATGTATCGTGCAGATGCAGTGGGATCCTCTGGACCATGGGGATGGGTGGCTGGATTCTGTGCGATAACAGACCGGTGTGGCGCATCAGAGTCAAGGTGCGTTCTACTGGCTGCACCAGCCTTTGCTGGCTTTAAGCTCCTGGCTGCAGCATTCATGATAGGTGGAAGCTTGGCCTGTACACGGTGTACAGGATGTTGTGGTGGTGACCTGGCAGGTCTTGTCAGCTCAGACTGGGGTACGACAGTTACTGCAGGTTGGACGCAATCTCCTCTGTGATTGCTCAAACTAACGTTACTGCGTCGTCGGCTGTCAGACTCCACTTCCTGCACTGACTGCTCATCCACAGCGTTCATATATCCAGAAGTGCAGTTGGAGATCGAGAGAGCACCGCTACGATTTGAGCGCACACTTGTAGTTGAGGAGCTATGTTGGCTACTGTCGTCTGGAACACTTTCCTCATCGGAGAGCCTAGCTAGGTCCTCGGCCAACTCCAGCTCCACCAGTCTTTTGTCTTGTTCGAATTTCTTTGCCAGAAATTCCTTTTCAAGCCGTAACGTCTTCGCAGCGGCCTGAATCTTCGCTTGTCGTCGTGAGAACGATGTTGCTCTGGATGTACTACTAGTACCTGACCTACTTGATTCTGCGCTTCCTACAGACCTGGCATCTGCCGTTTTCCTGGCTGCCAACGAAGGGAATTCGAAGCCTTCTGCCTCATCCCTTGCTGGTGGAATGCCTTTTAATCTCCTGCTTTTTCGAACTCACTGTTCGCTCTCAGCTCGCTCTGTCTCTAAGTCCACCATCCGGATCGAAGGACAGGGGTGTCACCCGTGATGGGCACGGGGGGCATGTGCACCTCCCTAAAAAATTCAACCTTGGTTTTTTGCGAACTTCTGGTTATGAAAAGTGTAGTGCTGGTAAAATCTACTAATACGTAATAGTACAGTAGGTATGGGTTATAGTGTGGGTGTTTGAAAAACGACTTTCTATTCTTATTTCCGATATTTCTTACACTCGATAAATCAAGTGTGATATATCATGTGCATGTGCGCAGAGGCAGGAAGATCATCGTACATACAAGGTAGTGCTGCTGTGCATGCGGCTGGTCACAGTCACATAGGCTTACCATGTGGCTATGCAACATGAGTTACATGACCACAATAGTTGAACCTGCAGACCCAACGCGAGTCAGATCAGAACTGCTTTGGACGGATGTTATTACTACAGGCGATATACTTTGTACTGATCTGGCATGTTTTGCTACACAAAGTCCATTCTCAGGAGCAATATATTCTACTGTATCATAAAATTGCTTGTAAGAATAAATGTGCACAGGAAATCCATGTTATGATTATAAAAACATGAGAGTTCATTCTTGTAGGCAGTATACTCTTTTACACGACCACGCTTTTAACCGATACGCACTGTAATTGTCGCTGACCTGCTCATTGGTATTTGTTTGATATTTATTTATTTGTACCTTTTCAGCACTGCACAGTTTGTACGAGGACTTGGAGATTTATGCAGTACATGTCTACAGCTTATTTGAATGCGTGCCTACTGTGCAGTACTAGTCCTTTGTATAGTACGCGAGTTGTAGCGCGGGTTAGCATACAGGTGTGAACGCTTCGCACTTTTCATGCAAGCTACTTTTCTGCATTCTGTACTTGCTTTCATGCTCGTGTCGCTGGCATACGCGATACGGGCCGAGTTTTTTGTATTGGTTTTGAACCATGTTGTTCTTCTTTTCAGTTTAGTTGTTCTTTGGTTGCTCCGCGAGTTGTTGCTTTGGTTGGAGACAAAGATGGCTTTCCGTTTCAGTAATATAATGTAATGTAACTATAACTGATAGTATACTGTTGAGTGTTGGGATGCGTTGGGACCCCGACACCAATATTTGGCTACCACCCAGTAAAATTTGAATCGTGCATCGTAGAGTGCTAGCTTAGCATGGCCGAGTCCGAAGCCGAAGAGAAATCGCCTGGTGCTGGTGGAAGCGCTGAGGCTTTTGGATGGATGAAGCTGGAGACGAGTTACCTAAAGCTTGGCAAGGATTACGGGTATTCTGGCGAGGCACTGGTCTCTTTCGTGGAGCGCAAGCTAACCGAAGCAACCGATAGGGACCAGAGAGCACAAGAGCGTGCAGAGAGAATCGCTGAGAAGGAGCTGGACAGTAGGAAAGAAATAGAAAAACTCCAGGCTGCGAGTGGTAGTGGCAGTAACGACGCGCAGAAGCGCCCCCACAAGTTGGACGTGCCAAAATACACCGACAAACAGGACATCCGGCATTATTTGATAACATTTGAGGCTGTTGTTCAGCAAAATGGCTACGGAAAATCGACATGGTTGTTGGCCCTCCGTTCGGCTGCGATGGGGACAAAGCTTGAACCGGTGCTGGATTATGTCACAACTTATGAAAGCGCTAAAGTTCAAGTGACACGTAGTTTACTCAAGACTGCCGAGAAGACGTGGTCTGAGCTCTTGTCTCTGCATCAGCAGACGGAGGACACGTTTTTCCGGTACGTAGCCCATGTAGTGCAACAGGTGCAAGAGTGGGCATCGCTATCTGGAGGGCCGCAGGGCCAGAAGCAGAGCAGTGGGAACAGTGAGATGTTCATGGCAATCGTCCGCCAATTTGTGCTCCAGGGATGCTCGCTTGACCTCTGTGCGTACTTGCTGGAAAACAAGATCGGCGAGAAAACGTTGGAAGAGATCACGGAACTGGGTACAGCGTATCAGGAAGCCCATGGTGTACGTTCTGGGTCCGACCAGAAACCCATGGCCTGGGAGCCCGAGGGTGCATCAGCACAGTGCTTCACGCTGTCCACTGCGGATGATGAGAACAAGCTCCACAGAATGCCTGTTGCTCAGCGGCGCGAGCATGCGCAAACCAATGGCCTTTGCTATCGTTGCCTGCGGACAGGGCACAGCCGGAGAATGTGTGATAGTAGTGTTACTTGCAGCAAGTGTGGCAACAAACAACATACCCTGCTTCATGATGACAGTAGCAATGGTAGCAGTGATTTCAACAATAGCAGCGGCAGCAGCAGTGGCAGCAGCAACAGCCATAGCACCTCAGCAGCTACAGGCAATGCCCTCGGCACCGCCTAGTGTTTGACAGCCGACACACTCTCCCTCTCATGTAGCGATGCAGTGTCAACTGCCACTCTGGAAGACATGGACGAGGCACACCCTATTGAAGTGCATAGCAGCGACATTTGATCCGCTCGACTCGGTGTCACACGCAGTATTGACAGGCAAGATCCTCCTGCAAGAGGCCTGGAAGGAACAAGGCAAGTGGGATGATCCGCTACCTTCTCCGCTCGCCCAGCGTATAGCGACAGGCAATGGTTGGACTTGTAAAACCTGCACTAGGTTTTGGTGGGGAGGATGTCGCTGACCTGCACATTGATATTTGTTTGATATTTATTTACTTGTACCTTTGCAGCACTGCACAGTTTGCACAAGGACTTGGAGATTTATGCAGTGCATGCATGTCTACAGCTTATTTGAATGCGTGCCTACTGCGCAGTACTAGTCCTTTGTATAGTACGCGAGTTGTAGTGCGGGTTAGCATACAGGTGTGAACGCTACGCACTTTTCCTACTTTTCTGCATTCTGTACTTGCTTTCATGCATGTGTCGCTGGCATACGCGATACAGGCCGGGTTTGTGTATTGGTTTTGAACCATGTGGTTCTTCTTTCAGTTTAGTTGTTCTTTGGTTGCTCCGCGAGTTGTTGCTTTGGTTGGAGACAAAGATGGCTTTCCGTTTCAGTAATATAATGTAATGTAACTATAACTGATAGCATACTGTTGAGTGTTGGGATGCGTTGGGACCCCGACACCAATAGTATGCACATCAAAACCACGCCTTGTCAACGATCCGTTCTTTCTCAGTTTTAACGACCACACTCAGCGAAAAGAAAACAACAACGAAGCACAACGACACACCAACGCTGATGTGGCATCACAAATGCCGTACCGTGCACGCAGGCACTGGGTTGCAACAGAAGAAAGACGCGCTGCAAGCGTGCCAAGCAGTGAGTGAGTACGCAACGCTGTACTAATGCCAGTCATGGCAACGGGAGATAAATAATTATGCAGATCGATCAGCGACTAGTTTGATCGAGAGCAGAGTACGA